GCTGTTCTTTTTCTTCTGTTCTTGAAAATGCTCACCAACTTGTTCTAATAAATAATAATTATCCCTGGGTATAGCCATAAATAACACAAAGAATGATAGTTGATAGAATCACAACAGAAATTCTGGAAAGAGCTGTATATCTCACTCAATCCAACACATTCATTTTAGCAATTCTGTGTCAATTTATCCATCTTTCTTTAGATCATTAAGGAAGATATGTGCTCTGATTTTTGCTTTAATCTAATTATCTTTGCAATAAATTCTTAGAATTCATCACCCAGGAAAAACGTGCTTTCTTTCATAAAATGAAATACTTCTTTTTGTTGGAAATAAGATTACACAATCTGTATTTTGGTGTTTGTAATAGCTGTGAGAAAGCACAGGGCCAGATTTAATTTTCAAATATACTTATGTGGACATAGTTTTAAAAACAGTTATTGTCTTCAATTCATTAAAACAAATTGTTGAGTGGGTTAAACATTTTGTAGGCCCTTTTTATTTAGCTTTAGTTTGTATATGTTTATCTAATGGTGTATTTCCATTTGCTTGTCTAAATGCATATTTCCATTTTCATGCAAGCCACCTCAATCATTTTGGAAAGTAGCTTTTCAGTCAGGTGATGCTTATTGAGAACATACTGTGTGCTAAAATGTGTTTCAATGGAAAGCTAATAGGAATAAATTCTATGGAAGGGCATACATTCAAGTGACAAAGAAGATTAGGAAAGCCATTAGTAATAAAATAAGTTGAAAACGCCTCCATGCCATGATCTAGTCTTATACTTCCCTTTGTTTCATGGTGCCGAGGACATGACTGAGAATAATGAAGCCTGCTAACCTGAACCAAGTGAAGTACATCAGCAATTGATTTAACTTTTAGCCTTGATGATGGAGCAAAACTTGGGGAAAAGCTGATGATGCAAGGGTTGTATTGCTAGGTTAGCAGAGTATCTACAGATAAATAAACAGTAAATATATATATATATATATACACACGCACATACATACATGTATATGTGTATACACTATATATCAGGCAGAGTAAATGTGTATATATATATATATATATGTATATGTTTATATATATAATTGACCCTTGAGCAACACAGATTTAAATTGCAGAGGTCCACTTATAGGCAGATTTCTTTCAATAGTAAATGCTACAATACTATATGATCCGAGGTTGGTTGAATCCACAGATGTGGAACTGAGAATATGGAGGAACCATGGATATAGGAGGCTGACTATAAAGGCATAGGAGAATTTTCAACTGCACTGAGGGTTGACACCCCTGACCCCTGTGTTGTTTAAGAGTCAAATGTGTGTGTGTGTATTTATACACACATACAACACATACATATACACACATACATTGATAAAGTATATTGAGGACATAAATGAAAAGGGAGATGTTTGGCACATTTTGGATAGCATTGTTCTTATAGAACAGGAACATTGAATACTTGCACATTTTTTATCCAATTTGCCCCTCTATGTAACTAAGTGAGTGCTCAGTATATCTTCATTGAATGAATGAATAGGAAAGAAATTGCTTTCAAAGCACTATAGGGAAATAGGATGCTCACTGTAGATAAACCTAGATAAAAGCTGAATACTAGTCACGTTAGGGCACAACATAGTCTTTGATTGTGTGACTGCTTTATAAATAGTATAAGTTTGCATATGAATTATAGATATACAAAAAGAGGCAGGGCAGCTTCTTTCACTGAGCTATATACCTAGTTAATTCAGGGCCTTTCACATAATACATGCTCATTAGATTTGGTTGTATTGATTTAAAAAAAACACGTACATTAAAAGCCAATCTAAGCATATCTAAAAACAAAAGTTTAAAAATAAGTTATGTTAGCTACTTAGTAGTTAAAATGAACTGACTTTGATTAGTATTAAGTGTTAGCCAGTTTTGAAATACCAACTTTCAAAGCCTTATAAACAGTGAAGTAGCACAACTCTGGCACTAATTGGGTCTTCCAGGGAGCCTAATAAGTATGTATGTCTTTTACTTAGCAGTGCCAATTGCCACTTTCTCCTTGGAAGGAGGCTGAAGTGGAGGTGGCTCGGACTTGGTTTCTCATGTCCCTTTCAATGGTGATCACCTATGAGCTGGCTAGACTACTAGAGCCCACCCCCTCAAAAACATCTGTAGGGAAACTCATCATTGCTAAAAAACAGCTGTAAATGTTTCAGCTAATATTCTTAGTGAATGACCACCTAGAGCAGAAAGAACTGAATGCTTTCTGGCTTCTACCAGTACCCACGTAGAATCACTGGCTCTTACCACTTTCTTCCAGGAAGGGGTAACGTAGACGACCCCATGGTTGGAATGGAGGTGGCTCCACCTGGCTTCTCGTGTACCTTTAGTAGTGATTACACATGAGCCTCTAGCAGGTCAGGGGACTCAACTTTCTCTTTGCTCTTTATCTATTTGTCAGATTTCTCTGAGGAAGCAGGCAATAAGTCCCTTGGAGAAATGCTTTTCTCTTGGTTTTCCTCCTACCTCACCAGCCTCTCTTCCTTGGTCTTTTCCTGGCTCTTTCATAGCTCCCTCACCTCTAAATTTTGTAGTATCTCGGGTCTTGCATTACTTTTCTATTGGTGCATAACAAATTACCTAAAACTCAGTGGTTTTTAAACAACAGATATATATTATCTCACAGTTTCTTTGGGTCAGAAGTCTAGTGTAGCTTAACTAGGTCTTCTGTAAGACTGCAGTCAAGGTGTCAGCTGGCGTTGGGGTATCATCTGAATGCTTGACTAGAAAAGGATTTATTTCCAAGCTTAAACAGGTTGTTGGCAGGATTTATTTTCTTAAGGCTATAGGAGTGAGGGCTTCATTTCTTGTTGGCTGGGGGCTGGAGACGTTACAAGATGCCAGCTAGAGGCTGCCCTCAGTTTCAAGAGGCTACCCTCACTTCTTTGCCCAGCAAAGGTTGAGGTTCCCCAATATGGCTGCTTGCTTCACAAAAGTCAGCTTGTGAGGGAAAAAGCTCCAGCACAATTGGCACTGTAATAATGTGATTACACAGTGTCAATCACCTGCATGCTGTCATGTATTCTATTGGTTAGAAGCAAGTTACAGGTCCTGCCCACACTCTAGGGAATTGGAATCATACAAGAGCATGACCACCAGGAGGCAGGGATGATCGAGGCACCTAAGAGTCTGCCCACCCCAGGGCTAGTCTCTGTCATCCGTCTTCTCTGTCTGTACTCACTTCCTCTCGTATCTCACGTCTTTAAATACTGTCAGTGATTGGACAACCCTGTTTTATATTTAAAGCTTGATATCCTTCTCTAAACTCCACACTGATATAGCCACTGCTTTCTTTATATTGTTCCTCTTCTGATAGACATCTCGAAATTCATATATCCAAAGTCAAAATAATTATTTCCCCTAAAAGTAACCTGTTTTTCCCATGGTTTCCCAGTCCCACTAAATGGCAGCTCTGTTCTTTCAGTTGCTCAGATCAAAAACTTTTATGCCATCCTGACTCTTCCTGTTCTCTCATATCCAACATCCAATTTATTAAATCTTTATTTTTAATTTGCCATTTCTTGGTTAGTGTACTTATCTTCAGGTAACACTAGGACCTGATCTAAAATATAGGGCACTTGGTGGCTCTCTGGCAACTGGAGTCCTAATGGGAAGAAGTAACCTCTGTCTCCATTTTATACCAGCTGGCTCCGGGCCTGCTTCTAACAGGATGGACCACATGGAACTCCAACACCACTGCTCTCTGACTTCGCTATTGATGGAAACTCTTGTGGCTTTGCCACATGCCAGATTGGTTCATGTCAGATGTTGCCTCTCACCAAACAAGGCTGCATTTGCCTTAATGAACCTCTCCGTACAAAGATTAAGGAGTAATGCCGATAATGGTAGTCACCTAACTCCTCCTAACATACTCTCTCTGCAGGGTTTTCTCCTCTGGGGCCTGTCCTTTTTTCATCCAATGTTCTTTTTTTCTTTCCTTCTCGCCCACATTTTTTGGTTTGTTTTTAATTAATTAATTAATTTTTTGGCTGCGTTGGGTCTTCATTGCTGTGCACAGGCTTTCTCTAGTTGTGCCGAGCCGGGGCTACTCTTTGTTGTGGTGTGCCGGCTTCTCATTGCAGTGGCTTCTCCTGTTGCGGAGCACGGGCTCTAGATGCACGGGCTTCAGTAGTTGTGGCACACAGGCTCAGTAGTTATGGCTCACGGGCTCTAGAGCGCAGGCTCAGTAGTTGTGGCACATGGGCTTAGTTGCTCCGCTGCATGTGGGATCTTCCTGGACCAGGGCTTGAACCCGTGTCCTCTGTATTGTCAGGCGGGTTCTTAAACACTGTGCCACCAGGGAAGTCCCTCACCCATGTTTTGGAAAACTGTGTTAATATCTGTTTCTGGGTAGGTAGGGCTTCCTATCATCCACATATACTTTGGTCTAAAGTAATAAATGTATCATTTTCTCCAGGTGTATTTTTACTTTATAGAATGAAAAAAATTGTTCCTATCACTAGAATTTGAGACATTAGTATGATGGCAAATTTGATTTATGGCACAAACAGTAGAGGAGTTCATGCTTGTTTCCCTGAACTCACGTGGAAGAGGTAGCTCCCTATTCTCCATACACATAAGGTGAACCTTGATCAGAACTCTCCCTATTTGAGCTTGGGCACAGGTAGATAGTAACTCATGGAGGCAGCTGACAGATGAAAGGGGGTGATCTCAAATACATGGGTTGAGAAAAATTTACAAACTCCTTCTGTATCACTATAGAAAGACAGGTAACTATGTCCTCTTCCTTTCAAATACTTTGCAATTCTTTCCTTTGTACTTTAAGTTGTTTCTTAAAGTTTATTTAATCAGGTGTCACTCGTATAAAAATATTTACTGTTGGTGAAGTAGTCTATGGTGATTTTCTCTGGGTAATATAGCCCATCCTTACCTTTTGCCTTTTTCTGTTTCCTTGAAACCTCACACTAATTTTCTAATTATATTTTTAGGAATCTGAATCTTGAACTTTCTGAGGAGAGCATCTGAGCTTCAGAGTTCCTATCAGGTAATGACAAAATATGGAAAAGACCCATGGTGCTGAGATTAGAATTTCACTGTGAGTGTCAATTTTAGATAATGTTGAGGATCCCTCCTTTTTTATGAAAGAAAGAAAGAAAGTTAAAGTTCTGGTAAGAAATTTTGTAAAAATTAAAATTGACAACAAAACCGTTTTAAAAAGTTGTATGTACTCTTAAGCACTCTATTTATTATTCAGAATTAGCCTAACCACAGAAAGTATAAGAGACATATACCAGTCTAAATAAACAAATGTTTCCAAAATAAGATATTTCCTATCTGTCGAAAAAGTTTTACTTGATTGACTAACTTGATAGTCTTAATGCAATCAGTTGGATGAAAAATAAAATGTGTATTGCCGGCAAACATTTTAGAGAGATAAGCACTTGTTGCAAGTACTATAGTATACATGCTTAGAAAAATCTTTACTTTGGCCAACTAAGACCACCACATGTTTTAAAATGTCATCCATCATTTCAGTGTTAAGAGCGCCCCCTGGTGTGATTGTCTAATTATGTTTATGAGAAATTTAGGCACTATTTTTTTTTAATTTTTAAAAAGTTTTATTGAATTCTTTTTTTTATTGAAGCATAATTGATTTACAATATTATATTAGTTTCAGGTATACAGTATAGTGATTCAATATCTTTGCAAATTATACTCCATTTTAAGTTATTACAAGATAATGGCTGTAATTCCCTGTGCTGTACAGTATATCCTTGTTGCTTATCTATATTAGACACTGTTTTTAAAACCTCATTTTGCTATTAGATGGTAATAGACCTTCTTTTTATACTCTGCTGACCTGACCAGTATGGTATGTAACTATCTAGAAATATGAATTTAATTTTTTCCTTGCCGTTATCCATGTTTATATCTGGAATCAGTGGTTAGCTTGAAAGTAGAATTTGGTAATAGTAATCCCTAAACTTCTTCAGTTAAAGTTAAGGACCAATAATATATCCTTTGGTAAATGTGAAATTGTATACTGAGATAAAATTTTATAGGATAATCAAATTCTTTGGTGGTAATAACCTTGTTAAATGGCAAATTTCTGTGAACAGTTTCTTTTTGGTAAACTCATGGGCATTTTAATAATTAAACATGAGAATTCAGACATTGCATTTTGATTTTGAAATATTCATTGTTTGGAAAAATTAATCCAAGTTTTAAAAGATTTTCTTACAACCCAGCAGCCCCCCTATAACCACGGAACTTGAAAATGTAAACATAATAATTCATCCCTGAATCACAATAGACCTCTCATCCATCCCCAAAATCACCCCCACTCCTGTAAATTCTCATTCGAACTTGGCAGCAGGGTGTCTATTTTATTACTGTCATTTTTCCTTGCATTTAATATTTAGTCCTTTGGGAATAATTAAACCATCCTTGCAAAGTGAAAGTGTGTATAATATTCTAAACTACATTTCTGTAAATTTGATAACTGCAATTATATTTCCCCCTACTGTGTCTTCTCCAAACTTAGATTGTTGTGATCGTTTTAACCATTTCTCATAGGTTCTATGTTCTAAACTTGATCATTTACAGGGCTATCACACTGAGCTGTTTGGAATAGACTGCTTTTACTTTCATTTTCTTCTGTATGGTTCCTCTTTCAATTGAATTCTGAAGCCATAAGCTTAGCACAGTATTTATATTATGTCCTGGCCTGTTAAAAGGAAATTTTCTAAAATATAGAATAAAAAAAAATCAGAACAGCGAACCTATCATAGTAGACCTGTGTTTGAATCTGGTTTGCAAATTTATTAGCATCGTGACCTTGGATAAGTCAGTGAGCCTCTCAGAGCCTTAATCTCTTCTCCTGTAAAAGGGAAATACAAATCAGTACTTTGCAGAATGTTGTTAATTCATCTTTTATGTTAATATGTATTTGAGATTTATTATCTGCCAGATTTAACTAAATGCCTCATGAGCATTTAGTTCTCACAACAGTTCTGTGAAGTAGGTGCTTTTATTTCTATATTATTGATGAGGCTTAGAGAAGCTAAGAAGCCTGTTAAGTGCAAAGGCCAAGATTCCAATCGAGGTCCTTTTGACTTAAAATGAGCTTATAAACACTGTGCTTCGTATATGTTTTAATCCTACTTACTCATTTCTGCTAATTTATTGATTTTGTTGTCCTTAAGGTCAGATTATCTCCCAATGCACAAACATACAGGAAACCAATCTTTTGAAAAAGAAGAGCTGGATCTTTTAACATGGATGCTCTTCTTGTCCGAAAACCAGAATTATTTTGAGAATTTATTCTTCTATACAATTTTTTTCAAACCAGGCAATGCACTAAGAGATCCTTTGTTATTATTTTCGTTGAGCTAATAGCAGTAACAAGGACTATTGGGTTGGTGAACCTTAAGGCACCTTCATGCAGAATATAAAGGCAGGATAATAGAATGCTAATTTTAGGCACTGTTGCATGCTTCCACCTCACCATTTCTGCTGGTTTTCTCGGGAGCTGGGACCACAATCTATTCCTTTTTGCGTTGCTGTTCTTATTTAAATATCTAATTACTTGGATTGGCTTTGTGAAGACTACATCATTTTCCTTATGGTTTAAGAATTTTTCCTCATATTCTAGATACCAGATTTTATTCATTAATTGCTACAGAGGCTATGTTTCTGGTTTCGCTAATAAGTTGTTTTGAAGGCTACTAAGTAACTCACCATGGAAACATGGTGTGAACAGGCTTGTCCTTTGCTTAATAAAATCTAGTGTTTCATAATATTCCTTTGGTCCTTGAGATTTGCTCTAGGAAGTAGGCTGTTCAACCATGATTCAAGAGCACATTGTTGGGTTTCTCAATGGCTGAGTGACTGTTTTCTTGTTGAAGTTGCCTCATGTGCTTGGGTCAGATGTATAGGCATTAATGTGAGCAGCTGTGTATATTATTATGTCTTACTGAGGTTGCACATTATGCCAAACACCACTGCCACTAGGAAAATCAACTCAATCATCATCATTGAATCCATGAATGAGTGAAGAAATGGGAGTTGTTTTAGTTTTCTACCCTCATTTCTGCCCCACTCCTACACTTATTCCCCTGACTGCCTACCACACACATGTGCACACACAGCATTTGGTGAGTTTGTTCTTGGACTTGTTTAATGTTTGTGGAATCCGGTCTTTTTTTCCAAATCCTCTGATATTGTTTTGGGTTAAGCCCTCATATTTTTCATTTGAACAATTGGAATACTCCTTAACTGAATTCTCTCTCTTCAGTGTTACATGCCTCCAGTAAACTGTCCCTAGTAACACCAGAATAATTTTCCTAAAACATAGAACTCATAACAGCTTAAAATTATTCATTGTCTCATTGTTCAGAAAGAGCCTTTGGTTCTTGCTTACTCTCTTCTAATTTGTCTCCCTACCATTGTCTTTACCCTCTGAATTCTGTGCTTTGCTCCACTGAAAAATTACAAATCCCAGAATGCTTTTCACTTCCTTTGCCTTCCTGTGCCTTTATGCACTAATGCACATGCCTTTATGCCAGTAACACCCTTCTGCACTTCATTTGGCGGGCTCCACTTTCTCCTCTAAGACAATCCTTCCCTGACAAAATTCTCACCCCACAAGCACATACTCAGTCTAAGTGCTTCTTCAGGGGAATTGCAAGATCCTGTGCTCACTTCTGTTGTTACAAGGTTTAGATTAAGGTGGGCAGCTTGAAGGCAAGTATTATGGTATATTATTCAATGTACCACAGAGCCAGATATTTAGAAAATGCTCAGGACAACTTTATTTATGAAGCCCATGAAGAGGCTTAATGAAGAATAGAAAGATACTGTGTTAGGATTCCCACGAAGATCTCATGCCTCAGTCAGGCTTTCAAGCTTATAGATCAAAATGTCTGACTTCTGTCAGCCATTACTGGGCAAGATGGTGAAGCAGCCATCAGTTGACGTTATATGCTCTCTTTCATTTACATTGAATCTTTTACATTTTCACTTAAATTGACTTTTTCCCAGCACTCATATACGCCTCAGTACCCCTCTGTGACAGTGATTTTTTGTGGCTTAATATTCATTCTCTTCTTCTTTTTACTTGTGGTGTCAAGAGAAAAAAAAAGACCACAAGCCCCCCATTATCTCTTTCTCCTTTTTGCTATGGGAGACAATGTGCCATAATTCTGTCCAATGAAATATAAACAGGAATCTGATGAAATTTCTGGGAAGTCTCTGTGTTCTTGCTGTTGATGGTATCTTGTCTTCCTTCTGGCCCTTTCTTTCTTCCTTGCTCCTGGAAGGTACACACGATGACTGGAACTGGAGCAGCCACCTTGCTGCCTTGAAAGGTTAGGAATATTACTGAGATTTTAGCCATGACATACCTGAACTTTCAAATCAATAACAGTAATTTCCTTCCCTTGGAATTCTCATTATATGAGCAAAATTTACCGTTTTGTGTTTAAGCCATTGTTATTTGAGTTTTCTGTTGCATCAACTGACTCACTTCCCAAACTGATACTTCTTACATTTTAAATGAATGCATTAGAAGTTAGTGGTATAAGTTTTCCACCTCTCCACCTATGTTTTATATCTGTTAACTCAACAACCATGTATTTAGACCTACTGTCACCATGTATGTACTACCCTAGACACTAAGATATAATGACTGGAACACCATGCCTATGTAAATGGCTTATAGTCTCATGGGTGCATAGAAACAAAATTAATTATGATATTGTGTATTAATAATGATTAATTATGACAATATGAGATAGAATATATAATACAGCAAATGCCACAGCAGTATATGTAGAAAAGCCTGAAGGTAAACAGAAGAGAGTATTTACAATTTGATCAAGCTCTCCTAAAAGTAAAATCAAAATTTTTAAAATCAGAGAAATGAATCTCTCATCTGGGATTTCAGGCACCCTGAACAGGACTTAATCCTTGTGCCTTTTTAGTGACAGCGTAGGTGGTTACTTACCTTTATGTGTCAGCCTTCTGCCTCTTACTAATAATTAA